TCATAATATATTGTAAAATGTACCGTAGATTTTTCTCTTCATCTGTCCATGCTTGCAGAAGGTTGGAATGTACGCAGACTACTCCACAGAAAAAGTGCCAGGATGCCCACAGAGACATACAAAAGCACAACGCAACACACTGCAGGGGGCATTTCTCATCAACGCCAGCGCCTGCCTGCAAGTACCCCAAGAATTTAAGGATCGCTTCTACTCTGAACATACAATCCCTCCTTGTTTCCTTTCCCCAACTCACTTCTCTGTCTTTCTCCCCATGTCATCCATCATCATATTCTCTCCCTCCTTATCTTGCCTCATAGGCTCACACCCACCTCCTCCTCCTATAGTTTCCTTCACCATTTCTCATTTTTCTCAACAATAGTGTCTGTCTATCCTTTGCACATACTATCAAAAATATCGCCTTTTTCTTTCATCCGTCTCTGGCAACTGTGGAGGGCTCTGTGTGTGGAGATATGCAGATCTACTGTTTGTGGAGGCTGTGTTTGCACAGACAGATGCTGAGTAAATGTGATCAATGGAAGATGTAACATTGCAAAATGGCAAACAGGCAAGAAGAGAAGGCTGGCAATAAAGCAACTGGCTGTGTTTAAACAGGTAATAAAAGCATGGTCATATCTCCTCATTAACCCAAGAGGAAGAAACAAGAGGCAGAAAAGCAAAGAGAGAAAATAGAAACAAGACGACTAAAGAGAAGAGACAATCAACGGGAAAGCAGAAAGGGAGTAGATGAACCCGGAGAGTAATGTGTAAACACTCTAGGGTTCGGTCATTGTGCTGAACTCAGGCTAATGGTTCACATAAAAACCCAGAGAAAAGGCAGAATCGATGCTATCTGTTAGAGCCCAGGATGAGGCTGGTTTGAAAGAGAGGACACAATGATCTCCCTCTAAGGGCTGATTACATCTGTTGAAACAGCACTCTGATATTTACATAGAAACCCTGCTGAGGCCCGGCAGTGGGCCGTGTACCGGCCAACCTGCTGCTCCCTCACTGCATCACTGGGTGTGTTTGCGCATATCTTGTACAAGATATGGATGTACTCTGCTTTTTTTTTACATTAATGTCTTCATAAGTAGAAATGTACTCATGGGCAAGACTACTTGTGCTGTTCAATGCCATTTTCTGTTCTTCCCTATACAGTATTTGATAGTGTGAGATCATAAAGGCTTGTTAGCATCTCATTTTGCAATCCTTCCCAAACAAAATGTAAAACTGACCTGAGAACAAAGGTGCAACTATATTGCCAACATCTAGATTGTACAGAGTATTCTTAATGCACAGAATATGAAATAAGTGGATATACACTGAAAGTCTCTGGAATGACAGAAGTGAATTGGTGCAATCAGCAATTTCTCGGCCATTGCTACATTAAAATCCTGAAATCCTGCTGAGTTTGTGTCGTGAATATTTTCATTTGTAGAATTCTTAAGACTATACTGCTGATAAAAGTTACAACGTATGTACAACTTCTAATGCCTTCAAAGCACATAAGCATCATAATTATTGTGCTCAATGGTTTTTCTTTTGTAGGTTAAATAAGTGTACTGTACTGTACTGTAAGTGAGGCAGTATGAAGGTTAAGGAGTAAGCAACCCATACTGTAAGCAGAATTTACATTTAAATGTTGCCGTTAGTCCTGAACTTCCTGGTGCCTAAAGCTCTTACTATGTTTCTGTATACAAATATTTCCCTACTGCAGTGACCAAGTTGGAGCAGAAAGAGCATTCCTGAGAGCAGTGTTTTAGATAAAGCTATGCTTGGCTAATTTAATTGACACTACTACTAAATATATGAAGAGAGTAGATTAGCTACTTGCTATTAAGTTCGAAAAGAGTTAACTGAGCTTATCCTGTTCTGCTGATTACATATTAAAAATACAAATCGTAAGTGTGTACTTAAAGATTAGTTGTAATGCTTGTAGAACAGTTAGAGGGAATGGCATGTTTTCTAACCAATCTATTATTCCCAACCAATCTATTTTTCCCAATCTGCCTACATAGGAGCTCAGGGGGTGAGTGTTTTTGCACAAGTTGTAAAACATCTGTAGTATTTCTGTAGCGGAGCAGTGCCATTATCACTAGAAAACATCATAACGCCATGAAAAAGCTTGCCACATGATTGCTGCATTTGTACACTAAACTGTCAGTTTGTACGGTCTCTCACCCCCTCTCTCTTTGCTACTATTCTGCCTCCCCTTTTTCTCTCTCTCCCGTCTCCCTAACTTCCCCCAGCATCCTGCTCCTCATTAGAAATCCTTTCATGGTCAAAGCCAATAAAACTTCAATGGGAGGCAGCCTGAAGAAAACATGGCTGTTCTGTGGCTTTACAGAGCGTTAATTACATGATCTCCGCACCAGACAGTGGAGGGCCAATCAGTTTCTCCAAAAGCACTGCCGACCTATGGCCACATGTGTGACACAGTCAGACACATAAACTCACATTACACACACACACAGAACAGGGTGCACAGACACACATACACATCAAGGTCATAAATACACAAACAGTATATAATACCAACAGATCACACACACACACACACACACACACACACACTTTGAGGCCACTATAGGCTTATTAACCTCTGGCCACATGTGTCCAACTCTGCCGGTGTTCCCCCACAGCAACAGGAAAAGTGAAGCAAGTGGTTTCTGTCTGCTGTGAGGCATAATTACACCATTTTAAACTTTAGCAGAGTTACTGCGACAGAGTAGTGCCATATTTGCCCAATCACAAATGTGCAGGATGCAAATAAGTGAGACACTTGACCCAGCCGGACGAAGTTACAATTCATGCCTACTCATTTCAGAGTGTAATGACGGGAATCGAGTAGCCATTTGTCAGATAGTGATATGTGAGATGCTGCCGCTTTGTTTGGGCTTATCCAGTCATAAGGAACAGACTAATTATAGTGCAACATTTCCTAATGTATTCATAAACAATGTCTGCCTTCATAAAAAGAATGATTGCGAGGCAGGAAATTATTGTTCTTGCCATGTGGCTCACTCCTCCTGTCTTTTCTCCTTTCTGTCATTGCTTCTTACTTTTGTTTGTCTATCTGTCGTGTGACGGCTTGGTTATTTCAGGCTGCACTGGAGTTTTTCTATGTGTCACTGCAATAATGTGCGGTGGCATCTTCTTTCACAAACAATCCTTAAAAAGCATCTCCCTCAGGAGTTACACCATCAAACAGTGTCTGATTCAATTTCACACAGTGAGATGACTAAAAAGAGCCTTTTAGGCGAGAGAACTGGATGTCTCTTTATTGCTTAACACAACATAACACAACTATTATCCAGGATGTAAGATCTGCCCAAAGGGTCTGTTTTGGGGTTTTTAATGTCTCAAGAAAATATGTTACACTTGTCATCTAAATGACTATTGGTGCTCATGCATTATAGGATGAACATTGCACTCACTCGTGCAATCATTACAACATAAAACCTTTTAAACTCAACTGTTGACTCATGGGAAGAGAGTCCCTAACTGAACTCTGAACTTTTTCCACTCACATACAAAAAAAGGATACACAAATATTAGTCAGGGACATATTGCTGCCATAGGCCATGAAAAGGCGCTGGCTTACTGGATCCAGAACCGGGAGTTGCTGATCCTATAAGAAGTAATGAATAAACTGAAACATTCAAAGTATAAATGCAGCCTGCTTTATAAGCAAAGCATTTCCTTTTGAAAGATAGAAAAGCCTTTCCCCAAACAAAGCCAAATAGGGCAACACCCTACAGGAAAATCAGCAAGACACTGTAGGTTGGTAACAGAATAAAAAAGTGGAAGACATGCTTGTGAACATATAAAGGTGAGCATATTTCACAGTATACGAACAGAAGCTCAGATAATGAAGGCATTCAGCAGGTGTCAGGTAAACCCCCTTGCACCGGGCGAGTAGTGACTTGTCTAATTACACCTTGAGGAGTGATGGCACATGTGTGCAGGCAGTGCGGAGTGGAGGAGAGGAAAGCATGTTGGCCTGCTATGGGGGGGTTGGTGCCTGGGGTCGAGGGCGCGCCCACGGTTCACCTGTGACACCTGGCTGGTGGAGATCAAGCTGAAAGGACACAGAGAGCACATTCTTCCAATGAGAACAAGACCACGTTATAAATACAATACATAAACACCACACACACACACATTACACTTAGACTGATACTAAGTGGGAATGACGGATGCTTTTTCCAAAATGTAATAATACTAATATTTAGATGAGACAGAATGAAATGAGGGAGGAACGCGAAACCTGGTGCACTATCACATTCACTTTTTCTACCTCCCTCTCTCTCCCTCTCTCTCCCTCTCTCTCCCCCTCTCTCTCTCCCTCTCTCTCTCTCTCGCCTCCTCCTTATTCCACACAGTGGCAGCGCTGGCATAGCATCGTTGAGAATACCCTGAGCCGGGAACGATCTGCGGTAACTGCCAGTGCGCACCTCCTCACTCTCAGATCCCTGCGGGCCGTCATATAGTCGGTAGGCGTGTGGCGACAGAACCCGGCTGCACAGCGTCAGCGCAAAACACTGCTATTTTCTGCCACGACCTAAATTATTTCAGCTGTAAACGCGTAACCTAATTATTTCATCTCTTGCTTCTCCCTCTCTAGGTGAGCTAACAAAACAAACAGTGGATATACAACACAGGAGATCTGAACTCTTCCTGGGCACAGCTGGAGAATTGTTTTGGGGAAAATAACTAAGCTGCTGTCCTGTCCACATTGCTCCCCCCCCCCCCCCCCCCCCAGGAGTGTGTGGAGACGGGACCTCTGCGCGGTGAAGAGTCGCTCCTGTGCCGTACAGACGCACTATAAGACCAGGAGGGATTTAGAAAGGAAGGTGGAGGATATTTTACGCACAGCAGCAATCAGTAGCCTTGTGTGACACGCGGCTTCCTACTGCGAGTCCCCTGCTCCGTTTAGGACTCAACACAGTCGCTTCGGATTTGCACTTGACTAAGTCCACACACAGCAGTCGGCTGGGATGGATTCCTTCATCATAGCGGCACTGGCGGTGTGCTCTCTAACGGCACCAGCCTATGGGGACAAAGGGACCAGCAAAGCCCGGAGTTGTTCGGATATCAGGCAGTTTTATAGCGGGAAAGGATTCACTCTGGATGGGGTCCCTCAGTCTGAAATATCAGGTAAGCTCCCTCTGTGCGCACTCATACTGTGGATGTGGAATAAATGTTTTATTTACCCCAAACACACTTTCAGGATCATATCCCTGTCGATTAACAACGCAACATTTTGCCATTACATGTTCACTACACTGTGAAGCCCCATACAGTTGCTATGAACTCATTGCCACTGAGAACCATAATCCCTCCGCAAGTCCCCCTAGGAATGTTAGTCTATTTTGGGGCCAAAGTCGCACCTGCAGTATCAGTATTTGTTGTATAAGTGTTCATCAGACCTACCCTGTAAACATTTATAATTCTGAAAATGAATGATAAAGGTTGCATACAATAGTGTTTTTAAAAATCACTGCAGGAAATTGTAACCTACAAATGTGCCTTGTTTATCACAAGCTAACAATTAAGTGTTTTGTTGTAAGAGTGCGCAAACCCAGGTTCTATCTTTTTACCTTTAATACCTTTTGGCACACACTTTTCAAGTCACATGTTGAAGCAGATGAGCTCTAGCTCTTGGCTATTTCTCAGGATGAAACACTGCTTTGAAAAGACATTAAGACAGTACTCAAATGTCATCAGAAATATGTAAAAGTCCCTCAAATTCACTCACACTTGACATTTTGAGAAACACAGATGCAGAACCAGAGACTGTCTTTCAGTTCTCATTTCTCAGTTTCCATACTGTACACTAATCTGCTACTCCTGAAGACGCCTGGTCTCTGTGCGTTGAATTCTATGAATTGCCAGTCACTTGACCATGTGCTGTAACCATGCAAATATGATGGTGCTCACTGTGTCATTCATGGGCAGACAGTCACAAGCCCCTCTGCAGTTCAGATGATTACATGTGTGCCTCCTCTGGAATTCAGTGCAACGCTTTTACACACATGAACACACACACACACACTTTACTGAAATTTCAGGTTCTATGGTTACAGTATCGTTATCGTACATGCATGGACAAGACTCAAGACTGTGACTGTGTGCTTACACAACCACTTTCCTGTGCACAGATTTAAAGGGAAGAAAATCTATTTTGAACTTGCATACTTTAATTCCATTGTCCTAAAACTGTCAAAACAGTGACTGTGAAGAAAGTAATGACTATAAAGTACAACACTAATATTTGAAGTTATCTATAGCCTTTTAGCAGCAAGAAATGAGTGTTAATGTGTGCAATGATTCTTACTGTAACCCAGCCACAGGCCCTCTCAATCTGATAACATACCCTTCCTCGGAAAGCCCCTTTAGACTGCGTCAGTCACCTTCTCTATTTTGTCCAATTCATTTTCCACAGATTGCTACACTACTGACAGTAGATAAACTCCTCTCCTCTGTGAAGACCGAAATGTTTGCACAGGCCGTATAGCACAGAAGAGTGACTTTCTGCAGTAATCACCTAAAGGTCACACTCTCAGGATGATCCTAAAGTAGAAACTGCTCTATTTTCTGAAAGCATATCACACAGCACAGCACGTTTGCAGGAGCATTGTGTCGTGACCGAAATAGCATGTCAATGCTTTTCACCCTATAGATTGTAGGTGTTTATCACGCAGGTTTCTAGAGCTGACACTGAGATGCATACATGGAGAATCAAGTGTGTGCTTATGAGGAAGATGATATCTGATGAAAGGATATACAGTAGATCATGCCTGGTGATTGCACTTGTAGAATAGGAGATTATAGGATTTGAGGGTGGGGCGGTAATGTGATGAAGCTGTTAGCTCATGTCATCACGCCATACATCATAAGGTAGTGAGGGCCAAGTAGTAACTGGACACTTCTAATTTAATTGATTGACCATACTGAATAAATCATTTGGCAGAATTAACGCCAGCACCGGTCCCTTTGAAACCCTTTTCTTCCAAATGTCTGTAATCCATAATGCTTTCAAGATAACATCTGTCTTGTCATGACACCACCTATTCTTCTTGTTTCAATCAATGATGTGGAGCTTACTTAAGTCTGGGGTCAATGCATTCCTAGTAAGAGTGAAAATAAAGGAGTGAGACAGAGACTGAGTGCCGGGGAGAGATAGAGACATGAGAGAGAATAAGAGAGATGTATAGGTGGATAAATGTTAGACAGAAAGAGAGATAGAGGGAAATACAGATTTGGCTTTGACAATATTTCTCCCTTTGTCCCTGTCTCTTGGCTCTCGAGCATAAATAACCACTCATCGGCTCCAGTCTGACATATTAAACACCTCAGTAAAATATGAAAGATTTAATTTATGCCTTCTCATCATGAGCCACATGAACGTTTTTTGTGATCCCTGACATTTGAAGAAGGATATTTCCTGCTGTGACACCAGGGCTTGATCAACTTAATGTATTGGCGGTGCCTGACTCAAGGTCACATGCTGAGAACATCTCCTCCATTCAGTCTGGGAGGACAATGAGGGACGACTGCAGCCTAACTCTAAAAATCAAGTCCTGTGGCAGCACATTAAAATCCTTGTCAATGCTGCTCGACATTTTTTTTACGAGGTACATTTCCTTGGCACACAAAGTTGAGAATATTCTTCTGAATTGAACATTTTATTACATTTTTAGATGACCAAAATATGTTATATCAACACGAAAACGTATGCAAACACATCTCAACAAGTTATGACCTTTTGAAAAGTTAAAGCTAGCTTTTTTAATTAAATCTTAACAGTTTGTGTTATAAAAATATACTTTTTAACTGTTATACCACTGTTGGAATGAGTAGCCTTGATGAAAGAGGAGAGAACTGCTCCCAACACCCCCCACCTCACAGTCCTTGTTTGATTATGCTCAGTCAGCGGTGAAAGAAGATTCCTAGATATTGTTTTCACACGGATGCGCCTCATATAACAACGTGGATGGTCCCCTGTTCTTAAGTAATTTGCCCTAGAGTAAAGCCATGCGGAAGAAAGCTATTGAGTTAAGGGTGAGCTGTTTGTTATTGTGTTAAATCTGTGTTTACTGGACCATAGGAACAGTATCCATTGAGCAGAAATGAAAAGTGATGGTTCGAAACTAATCATAATAAGTGTGATAAGTTTAACTCTCCCCAATGTGATCAGTATTGGAAACATATTTTTGTTGGTATTTACCAAAAAAATGGATGATTGATTTTTACGAGGCTCATCTGTCTCCTCCCTGCACTGCCCCCTCCCTGTCCCACCCCATCATTACAGTCGTGATGACTTATCTTTTTGTCTTTCAGGGGATGACATTCTTCATCCCTCTGTTTCTCTCTCTCTCATCGGCTCTCGAGGAGAGAGGCGCCAGGCACTCTTTGAAAGCAGCTGGCAGCCAATGAGTGTTAGATGTCCAATGACATATAAGCCTTTTACAAAAAGACAAGCTGCATGAGACATCTGCAGAAAGGCTGGTAACATTTTGGTATGGCATCGGCTTTTCCCAGGCTGTGTTTGTGTTGTTGTTGATTGCTGGTTGCTACAGGCTGATAGTGAGTTGCTCAGTGCTCTTAAGTGTCATCTCTAACCAGTGTTTGGCTAATGATACACTGGGATCGCTGCTCACCAGGCTCGCTAGGAACGGTTTGCTGACTAAAGACTGGCTTGTGGCTGGAATATGGGCTGATCAGCATGGTAGCCAACAGCGAAAAAGTATGGGAATGTTTTGAACTCAGTAGCTTGACTGTGAATTTTCCTTGAAATGTATAATGGCAGCGTTGTAGCTAAAACAGAGCATGAGTTTTCACACACAGCGTAGGAAATCTCCCCAGGCAACTCTCTCACCTCTTTGACTGTGTAATGGTAAGATAATGGCTGCTATGTGTGTTTGCTGCCCCCTACAACCCTTACCAGCCAGGGGTTAAATGGAGGAGCCCACTGCCTGAATAAAATAGTGCTGGACAGGGAGACGCTGCAAAACCAAACAACAAAACAGCTAATATGAAAGACATCACATTAATTAATTTTTTTATCAGGGATGCACCAATCTAAAACTGATATTGTGATCTGGTATTGGTGCCAATGTGGACTATCTATTTCATTTTATGTTTACTTCAGATTTTCACATGCACGTAATATACCACTTCATGCATTAGCAACAAGGCGATAGACCGCATAGCTGAAGGAGCTAACAACAAACATGTTTTCTGTCTTCATGTATTATTTCCTACAAATGTTTTTGGGCTAGAAAGCCAGTGTTTTCAGTGTCTGGAAAATATAACACAGTCAACTTAACCCTTAGATGCACGAGTGACTGGACCCTACACTCTTCCATAAGTGGGTCTAAAAGGACCCGTATTAGAATAATGTGTTTTTATGCAATTTTTGTCATTTTGGTTAAGAAAAATCTCTTGTATAATATTTAGTATTATATTTTGGTTTACACTAGAAATATTTTATATTTAATTTTTCACTATTTATAATTTTAGAAATGTCTTTTACATTTTGAAAAAAAACGTTTTCCCATAGGATTCCATAGAAAATGCATGTGGGTCAGTTTTGACCCACTTATGGAAGCTTGGGGTACTAATACAAAAACTACAATTTCTTAAAATGTAAATTAAAAATGTGAATGGCATGATATCCAAAACATGTTTTTTGAGGAATAGCTGGAATATGAAATGATACATTTTTTTAATTACAAAGATACTTAAAGAAAACCACCTCACCGGGTCCAAAAAGACCCACTTATGCATCTAAGGGTTAAACAAGCACCTTCATGAGCATCATGCCACAGAGTTTGACACATTTTGAACTATTATTTACAAAGTTGTCGCTGCAAGATTTATTATTTTACTAAAAGTCAATAGTTTCGTTAATTCATATCTGTATTTGTTTGTTACATCCAATTTACCAAAAGTTATGAAAGCAATGTTTAATTCAAGCCTGGTGTTGCCTTAAACATAAACGAATTATCCCAGTAACTTCCATAATGAGGCATACATAGTGTTCTTTCAACACTTTGTCTATTCCCAAGCCCCAGGTATAGTTATCAATATTGCAACTGAGCAATTTGGATCGGTGCATCCCAACTTTTTTTAATTTACCCCCATTGGTATAC